AAAGAGAAGCATTTAAGATAATTCCAAGTTTTCAACTCTGAGTATTTATGAACATGATTTTACTACTGATAGAAACAGAAGTCTAAAAGTAAGAAGTCTGTGGAGGAAACGTTAAGTTTAGACATGAGGTGACAAGATGATTTCAGATGCACATGTACACAAAACACCTCTTTTGAATCCCAAAAGAGAAAATTTAAAAATACAAGTAATTTCTGAAGAGATAATAGTTGAAAAGATAATAAATACCAAAAACTAAATAACAAAGGGAGAATAAGTAGAAGAGCCTACAGGGCCTAAGGGTTCAGAAATGAGACTAACCAACACAAAAATCTGAAAGAGACAGACAGCTGCATGAGAAAAAAGATAAAAACAGTACTATGCTTTTCATCTGTGAGGTCCAATGTCAATTATTAAGCACTATCATAACTGTTTTTGCTATTAGAATATAGCCTGATACAACTGATATTTACTATTTCCATTTTACAAATGTATTAAATTAGGTTAAGTGACTTAACTAAATTCAAACTGGTTGTAAGTTATGGAACTGTCTCTCAAACCCAGTTCTTCTCACTACCCAGGCACTCAGATGTGGTCTAGTTTCCAAACACAACAAAAAGTTCACTAGCTAGCAACTAACATCTACAGTTGAATCACTGAATCAGACGGATGAGTGTGGTGACACACCATTTAACAGCACCAATCTAATAACCAAGAAGACTTTAAAAACAAAATATTATAAAGTGTTTCAGTCTACTGATCAAGTAACAGCTAAATAGACTAACTTCCCCTTTTTCCTAATGGCTAAGATATACACTGTTTGGGTTTAGAGAAAATATTACAAAACAATATGGAGAACAGCACAGTGGCTCATGCATATAAACTCTGTGGGAGGCCGAGAGGGGAGGATCACTTGAGCCAGGAGTTCAAGGCTATAGTGAGCTATGATCATGCCACTGCACTCCAGCCTGTGTGACAGAATGAGAGTCTGACTCAAATTAATAATAGTAATTATAAGGTAATAAACAATCACCATAAAAAAATCAAACTATTAAAAGGTCTCGTTCACTGCACCCTATCCACCTGCTGCTTTCTTCAGAAAGAACCACTGTTAAACGGCTGGTAGGCCACCTTCCAGAGTCTTCTATATACATCTTTCTTTGCAAATATGTATGTATATTATAAATATGTACATTGTATACATATGTATATATATAAAATAGACACTTTATACATTCTTTTTTTGTTGTTTTTTTGAGGTGGAGTCTCGCTCTTTCTCCCAGGGTGGAGGGAAGTGGCACGATCTCGGCTCACTGCAACCTCTGCCCCTTGGGTTCAAGTGATTCTTCTGCCTCAGCCTCCCAAGTAGCTGGAATTACAGGAGTCCGCCACCACGCCTGGCTCATTTTTTAAAATTTTATTTATTTATTTTTTGAGACAAGAGTTTTGCTCTGTCATCCAGGCTGGAGTGCAATGGCACAATCTCAGCTCACTACAGCCTCCGCCTCCTGGATTCAAGCAATTCTCCTGCCTCAGCTTCCCAAGTAACTGGGATTACAGGCATGCACCACCACATCCAACTAATTTTTGTATCTTTTAGTAGAGACAGGGTTTGCCACGTTGGTCCCAAACTCTCAACCTCAGGTGATCCGTCTGCCTCAGCCTCCCAAAGTGCTGGAATTATAAGAGTGAGCCAATGCGCCTAGTCTACTTTACATATTCTGGTTTAAAAAAAAAAAAAAAAACAAAAAACTGTCCTCCTTATTACTGCTTAAAACTGACATTCTCAAAAGCCTTGCTGTAATAAAACAATGAAATTGTTTTACATGATGATAAGTAATAATATTAGTCCAAAAGACTGGCCAAGTGTGGTGGCATGTGACTGTAATCCCTGCTACTCAGAAGGCTGAGGCAGAATTGCTTAAACCTAGGAGGCAGAGGAGGTAGTGAGCCAAGATCACATCCTGCACTCTAGTCTGGGTAACAGAGTGAGACTCCATTACAAAAATATAAAGAAGCAAAATAGATTACAGTCTGTATTTTATAACTGTCTGCTGTTCAAAAGTCTTGTTCAACTATTTTCCCAACTTGAAACATGCTGAACATAATCTAGCACGTTCTTTACAACTCATAATCTGTGTAACTTTTACCCACCATTAAATTATGTTATAATATGAAGATACTTTCCAGGGCAACAGAGATATCCACAATGACACTACATGTTCCCCAGCTGCAGCCTCTTTAAAAAGAAAAAAAAAAAAAAAAAAAAAAGGCCGGGCACAGTGGCTCATGCCTGTAATCCCAGCACTTTGCGAGGCCGAGGCGGGCGGATCACAAGGTCAAGAGATGGAGACCATGATGAAACCCCATCTCTACTAAAAAATACAGAAATTAGCTGGGCGTCGTGGCACGCTGCTGTGGTCCCAGCTACTTGGGAGGCTGAGGCAGGAGAATTGCCTGAACCCAGGAGGCAGAGGTTGCAGTGAGCTGAGATCGCGCCACTGCACTCCAGCCTGGCGCCTGGCAACAGAACAAGACTCTGTCTCAAAAAAAAAAAAAAAAAAAAAGAAAGAAAAATTTCTTAGTGTTCCCTAGCAGTAGAATAAAAGTTGTTTAGCTTTCCAAATATTTATAAAATTATTAGATTTTTAAATATTCAAACCAACTTACAGGTAGTCAGGATATATACCATTATCTTTATTTTTTTTTAAAGAGGCAAAGAAAAGATTAATTAGAAAGCTTGTTTATAAGAATTAGTATGTAAGGGATCCTGAAGTTCATCTTATGTAATCTCATCTTCTAAATGATAAAACCACCATCTCCTTCCTTGCGGCCAACTGTCGTCTGTCACGTTACTTTACAGCAACCATATTAATTTTGTAGCCTTTTCAGGCTTTAAAAGGCCTCTACTGGGAACCTTCAGAACAGTAGTTTGCAAAAATCTACATGTAGTAGTCACAAAGTAGCCATCATTGTTAAGATGTGAAAATTGGAAATATACTACAGATACATTAAGGATACAGACTTAGAGGATAATCACACTCCTCTCTTAAAAATAAAGTACAAAATACATGAGCTTGGGACTCAAAGTTTTCTGTTGCTGGAGTAGGCCAAGTGCAAACTACTGTCACTGTGCAATACCTCCTTACCAAGGAAAGCGTATTTTCTTTGGCACCCTATTCTATGAGCAGGAGACAAGCAGCACAGTAGTACGGTCCTTATTCTGTACCAGAGTTAACATGGAACATTAATAATCTATTAAGAATCACCAACTCCCACTCCTATTCTCCCTCCACCAAACATAAATACTATGGAAATCACACCGAAAAAATCCATAGTGAAAATAATAAAAACAGCAGTAAACAGACAAAGAGGATATAAATATGTTCTAATTTGGCCACTATGTGCACCTAGTAACGGTGTGACTGAACAAGCTTCGTCATTTCTAAATCTTGATTCCTCATCTGTAAAATGAGTATTTCAAATCTAAAATTTGTTATTTTTAGAAATCAGGTTTAAGCATGAAAGTTAACAAGGAACCCAATTATAGAACCATAACTAGCTATTCCTATAGCTACAAATGCATAACATGTTTGTGATAACTTTTAGCCACCCCATTCTAAAATCAAAGAAAACAGAAATGATTCTACATGGGAGAATATAAAATACAAAAACACACAGGTGTATATATGACAATAACTTCATTTTAATTTTCCTGGGATCCACATAGTCCATCTTCCTTTATTTTCAATTCATTCCCATGTCTTTTGTAAACATCAAAATGAAAATCTAAGTTACCTCCTTTTAATTTAGTACTATTAACAATAAAATGGCCAAAATGAGAACAAGAAATAGAATAATTCATTTATAAAGCTTTTCGCAAAAATAATCCCAAAATTGTAGTAGCTGGAAGTTCACAAATAAATATGGCTTCTGTTTCTAATGATACAGCCTTTTTTGTTTTTTTTTGGAGACAGAGGCTCGCTCTGTTGCCAGGTGCCAGGTTGGAGTGCAGAGGCACAAGCTCGGCTCACTGCAACCTCTGCCTCCCAGGTTTAAGTAATGCTCCTGCCTCAGCCTCCCAAGTAGCTGAGACTATAGGCGCCATAATTCCATGTGCAAAATGCTTGCAGTAGTCTTAAAACAAAGAATTATGTAACTAAGATTAAATAACATGCTAAATAATATGAGTGAGCTTAATGTCAAGAAATTCTAATAAAATCTCAAACAAAATTTGAATCCTTAATTTTATTCACAGGCCATTTGATTTACTACTTAAGTTTTGTTTTTTTTCTTTCTTCTTTGCCCTTCTCCTGATTGTAATACTACTTAAGTTTTAATTACACACAAGAACATCTGGTTGCATAGGCAGAATTTAAAATCAAGTGTATTTCATGCAGAGTTGCCTCATTTAGTTTTTTTTTTTTTTTTGAGACAGATTCTCACTCTGTTGCCCAGGCTGGAGTGCAATGGCACGATCCTGACTTACTGCAACCTCCGCCTCTTGGGTTCAAGTGCTTCTCCTGCCTCAGCCTCCTGAGTAGCTGGGATTACAGGCACATGCCACCACGCCCAGCTAATTTTTGTACTTTTTTTTTTTTTTTTTTTTTTAAGGAGAGATGGGGTTTTACCATGTTGGTCAGGGTGGTCTTGAACCCTCGACCTCATGATTCCCCTGCCTCGACCTCCCAAAGTGTTGGAATTACAGGCGTACGCCACAACGCCCAGCCCAGAGTCACTTTTAAATGTCTTATACTCACAAACCCAACATGATAGGGATGGGGGAAAAGGAGGGAGGGATGGAGGACAAACCTGAGGATGAAAAGATTCTACAAGATTTTCCTCTAGGCTTGCTTATCTTCTTTCCCTATATTATCACCCTAAACAACTATACTATCCCTTAATCTTCATTTCTAGTCTGTTTTCTCCTGGTGCCCAACCTACATATCTAGCTAGGTATCTCCACCTTGATGTTCCACTGACAACAAACATTCAAGATGTACAAACTACTGTACTTAACAAAACAGTAACAATAACAGTCTTTGGATGGTTGAGATAAAGGTGATTTTAACCCTCCTTCCAAAGACAGGATCTTTTATTCTTAGTAGGATTTTTAAAACAAGATCCCCCATCCACTCTATCCCCCCAAATTATCCTTCTCCTAAATCTTTCTCTCCCTGACTTGCCCATCTTGGTGACCGGTACCATACCCTTAAATCAACCTAGTCACTTAAACCAAAGCCCTGGCAACACCCATCTTCCTCGTATCCAGCTCCCTATTGCTACTAAGCATCTACTGCAATCATCCTTCCTCTTCTCCCTATTGGTATTACTTGAATTGAGCCCCTCATCTTCTTTACACTAATCTAACCTTCCTATCCCAAACACATTCCGCCATTGCCCTTCCCTGCTCCACAAAGATGCTAATCATTTTTCTAAAACAAATATAAAGCTCGTGCTTTCATTTAAAGCCCTTCAGACTCTCAACTCCCTTTTAATTTAGGAGGTCCTATGCATGGTATATAAAGGTCCTGCATCAGAAAACCCAGGCTTAATTCTCCAATCACTCCTCCCTACCCTATCCCCTACCCAAAGTTGCAATTTCCTTGAAAATGAGCTTTTATGTTTTGCACACAATGCCTCCACCCTTTCTACCGAATATATCACAGTGCACACAGTAGAATGTACACAGAGTAGAGTCTCCACCCTTTCTACTATATACATCAGTCAACACAGTAAAACGTACAGAGTATAACCTCCACCCTTTCTACTGTATACATCACAGTGTACACAGTAGAATGTACACAGGGTATACATAGGTGACATCACTACTCTTCATACCATATGCTCATCACATTACTTTTCATCACATTCCCAGCCCCACCCCATCCGAAAGAGCTTTCTGAGGAAAAGGCTGTGTAGGTGTCTAATGTAGCAGACTACCCTGCAGAATGGCTGACAGACGGCAAGTAAGTAACAAAGCTCAAACAACCAGCAACTTTCCGTGCACTCTTTCCAACCACCAGTTGCTGTTATTATTAAAACCTTCATAGGCTATTATTATAATACAGTAATCTGAAAACTGTTTTGTAACTAAAATGAAAAAAACTGACAATTCTGTAGGACTAGCAAAATAAGAGATTTTATTCATAGGCCTTCACCCACAGGATTATTTGGAATTAATAAATTGTTACAGCTCTAAGAGGCCTGAGCCATCTAATAAATCAATAAATCAAAGTACTGATTAGGAAATTTTGCACAAGAATGATGCTGCAGTCTCTAACCAACTCCTTTAGGATTTTACTATTCGGCTAAGTTGCTCACAACTTTCATTCTTGAAACTGCCACCAAAACAGAGACAGGAATCTAAAAAACTTCTGTATTATCTTATAAAATGAGAAGAATTTGGAATGTCTTGTTTAACAGGAACTGCTATAAAAATTAAAACCTTACTTCTTGGTGTTAAAAAAGCCAAAGATATTAAGAATCCTTACAAAAACAAATTTAAAAACCAATCATAGAAATCATTTTAGAAAAAAAAAAAAAAGAGTAACATGGTAAAAATCCATCTTGACAATTTTTTTTCAAAGGTGTTGACATTTAGCCAGACACAAGATGGATAATCTGCAAACAATTCTTGAACTTCTATTAACGTTTAGTAAATAAATACTAGTCCTATTAGTAAACTTCGTCCCTATTTTAAGAAAACCATGTAAGCAACTATATCCACAACGGCTCTCAACTTTGGATAGAAATCGTTCTCATTCTCATTTATTCATTAAAGCCTTTTACGTATGTGAATAATATTTTTTAAAGGTTCTATACTTCACATGTACTTAGCACTAAATTTTGTTTGCCCCAATTAGTGCAGTTTTATTTTATTGTCTTTCTTTAGTGAGTTAGTGCAGCAAAATACATTGAAATTATGACTAAGAACCACTTTCAAATACATATTACACTTCACAAAAATGGAAGAGATGGAAAGCAATGAGCTAACCTTTTAAAATTTTGCCCCCTTTGCTGAATTTTTTAAAATCAACATTCCCAACAAGAATGTCTGCAATTAAAATGTAAACAACTTTCAGTAAATGTCACTAAATGAGGAAAAACAAACACGCATTTCCAGTACTCCTCTCTCTCTCTCTCTCTCTCTCTCTCTTTTTCATTTGGTCTGTTTTGAACACTGTCGAATTCTAGAGCCTGAAATAGTATCTGCACGTGGTTAATGCACAGAAAATTTGTTGAAAGAATATTTCCACCAGACAACTTTTCGAGTTGTTTTGCTCTGTTTTTGATGTTAAAATAAGCACTATAAGGCCTTTATGAGCTGTACTGTTCTGTCAACTATAATTCTTATTTTGAAGTAGCATGGTATTAATCAAGTTCTCGGGTTTCTAAGTTTACTACTGGGCCCAGCAAAGTATGGCCTTTGGCCTATTTTTGCAGGCCCTCAAACTAAGGATGGTACATACATACTTGGGGTTTTTTGTTTTGAGACAGGGTCTCACTCTGTCATCCAGGCTGGAGTGTAGCAGCACAATCGCAGCTCAATGCAACCTCCACCTCCCTAGATCAAGCAATTTTCTCAAGTAGCTGCGACTACAGACATTCATCACCATGCCCAGCTAACTTTTTTGTATTAATATTTTTTGTAGAGACATATTGTTTCACTACATTGCCCAGGCTGGTCTGGAACTCCCGAGCTCAAGCGATCAGCCTGCCTCAGCCTCCCAAAGTGCTGGGATTACAGGCATAAGCCACCACACTCAACTCGATGGTTCTGTATTTTAAGCTTTGTAAAAGACAAAGTAGAATATATAAAGAGGCCCACAAAACCTAAAATATTTACTGTCTAATCCTCTACAAAGTTTGCTGCCCACTGGACTGGAGATTCCACTCACAAGAGAATAAAATGTACTCTGAATACACACTTTCTTTCACCTATCAGTAGAATCTGCACTACTGGATCTTTTAACTAAATCCTTCTCCACATTTAAACATCTGAATTTTGGAATGTTACCTGAAGAATGTTAAATAAATACTTTGCTGTTTTGGTTTTGTATCAGAGCATAAGTAGTTATGACGTTGAAGCTTTGAAAAAGAAAGTTAAATTATCTTTAATGTTTCACATACTAAAAAAATAAAGATGAAAAAGGAAAAAAGTCAAAATAGAATACAAATAGAAAAACTTTAATCTAATTGTATTTCGAATTAACAGCAAAACCACTTTGAGGGAAGAAAACTAACCAAGAAATGTTTGTACATAGTATTTTAACTACATGTCCTTAACAGAAACAAAAAATGTATTATAAACAAATATTAAACTCTAATTAATAGGTTTGTTTTCAGATATATGCTTCAGTAATTCTGAAATTACTTTCTTTGTATTTCAAGAATGAGCAAATAATAAGTAAACATATTGTAGATAACAAAAGCAAGGTATCTTGCTGTCAAAGAAAGAAATTACAGATTTGGAAAGAAGGAAGACTAGAATGAACCCTACCGTGTTTGACTGGAATTGAAGATATTATGATCAATCATGGCTTTTTAGATACACAGATACAAAATAGATGAGAAACAGAGAATGTATGTATACATATAATTCTATCTATTGACACACACACACACACACACACACACCTGGAAAAATGGCTGATTCCTGGGCTGGGGTGGGAGTATTTTATAACACTAGAAAATAAGAGAACTCAAAAAGTAATGAGCACTTGTCAAAAGGACAAAGAAGATGGCTTGCCTAGTCAAAACTGAGACAAAGTCTAAGGATAACTCAATGAATTAAAAAAAAAAAAAACCATGAGTATGGCTGGATGCGGTGGCTCACACCTATAATCCCAGCGCTTTTGGAGGCCAAGGTGGGTGGATCACTTGAGGCCAGGAGTTCAAGGTCAGCCTGGCCAACATGACAAAACCTCAACTCTACTAAAAAAAAAAAAATCAGCCAGACATGGTGGTTCACACCTGTAGCCCCAGCTAGTCAGGAGGCTGAGGCACGAGAATCGCTTGAACCTGGGAGGTGGATGCTGCAGTGAACCAAGATCACGCCACAGTACTCTAGCCTAGGTGGCTGAGCGAGACTGTCTTAAAAACAAACAAACAAACAAAAAACAACCATGAGTTCATACTAATATGCATATACACCTATATACATAAATGGTAAAATGCGAAAGCTTGTAAAGAATGTGAACCAATAAATACAAAAATAATAGACTCAGAAAAAATCACCACTTGGCAACCAACTTAGTACTAACTGATTCAGGTAAGAACAGAGAAGATGCTAAAACAAGTGGTGAAAATCTGATGAGGAGCAAGGTATTTGCATCAAAGTATCTCCCCAGAAGATACTATTAATAGTTACAAAGGAAGCAGTAACAAAGGAAATACAGTAGGGAAACCCTGCAGATAAAAATTTACACCCCCAGCCTAAGCAACATAGCAGGGTCTCCTCTCTATCAAAAATCTAAAAAATTAGGAAGGCACGGTGGCGTACACCTGCAGTCCCAGCTACTCAGAAGGCTAAGATGAATGGACTACTTAAGCCCAGAAGTTTGAGGCTACAGTGAGCCATGATCACACAACTGCACTCAAAACTGGGCAATAGAGCAAGATCCCTGCCTCTTTAAAAGAAATAATAAACAGAAGCTTAACATCTCTATTAATGGAATATATGGACAACATATGCTTCCTGATACGGTGCACTGAGAGGAACACAGTACTACTCTTGGAATGTTCCTGCCAAAAATGTAGAACACGAACCTAATCAAAAAGAAATACCAAATCAATATTAAAGAAATTCTAAAAATACTGGCCTATTCTTATCAAATGTCATCTCTTTAAAGTTCATACATGAGGAGTAACCAACTGATTCACATTAAGTGAAACTAAGACAAGTGAATCTAAGGTGTGATGTAGAATTTACTCTATTAAAGACATTAATGGTATGATTGGTGAAATATGAATATGACCTACAGACAACAGTACCGTATCAAAGTTCATTTCTTGATTTTGATAACTGTACTATATAATTAAATGTGCTTGTTTTAAACATATACACAGTCATTTAGAAGTAAAGGGTACCATGAATTGCAATTTACTCTCAAAATGTTCAGAAAAGAAATTATGTGCTCATTTGTATGTGAAGAGAGACAGAGTAAAGCAAATATGGTTACAGGAGGTAGAGAAATCTTGATGAAGTATGCACAAAAATTCATCATATTTTTCTATAAATGTGAAGTTATAAAAATTTAAAAGAATAAGGAAAAAAATTTGTATTTGGACATTATACCAGTAAAAAGCAAAACAAAACAAAAACATCAATGAAAAACTGAATGATGGTTCTCTTTTACTTGTAGCACCAGGGTTGAGAACTAAGTCCTTCTAATCCCTGCTGTAATGCTTACAGAACTATATTTCCTTGGAAAAATCACAACTGTTGGGACTCAGTTTCCTTGTTTGTAAAACGGGGTAACAGCTATCCAACCATTCTAAACTAAAGATCCACTGAAACATAATAATGGCAGCAGAAAAGAAGGCAGAGTATAAAACACTATACATTATAAAATGGTTCGCTCTTTTTCTAATACCTACTATTTTTTTCTTTTTAATTTCTGTGAGTACACAGTAGATACATATACTTGTGTACATGAGATATTTTGATAAAGTGGTTAACTTCCCCCCATTCCCGAACCGCCCAGGCTGGAGTCTTGCTCTGTTGACCAGGCTAGAGTACAGTGGCACGACCTCAGTTCACTGCAACCTCTGCCTCCCCAGTTCAAGCAATTCTCCTTCCTCAGCCTCCAGGGTAGGTGGGATTACAGGTACACACCCAGCTAATTTTTGTATTTTTAGTAGACAGGGTTTCACCACATTGGCCAGGCTGGTCTTGAATTCCTGCCCTCGTGATCCACCCACCTTGGCCTCCCAAAGTGCTGGGATTACAAGCGTGAGCCACCACGTCTGGCAAAGTGGTTAACTTTTAACAAATGTTTGGTAAACTAAAAGTACTTCAAAAAATCTAAGTTTTTTTCATCATAGTGAGCAGCTGTTACAAAACTAGACATTTGCTACATCACATTTGGATTTGTAAAAAACAAAATTACTTATTCAAAACTCACTTGAAGGGCAAGAAAGATTTTTTTAAATTTTTTTACTCCAGAAGATTTTACTCATATATTTAAAATATTTCAACAAACTCAAACACTTATGTCTAATTTTTCTTGGCAATAAAACTTTATGGTATCAAAAACATTGCTAGATCAAAGAAAGCCACTAACTAGGATTTGGTCAATCTTTGAGACACAGATCACTGTACAGAAATCTTTATATCATTTCCCAAGTTCTACTCGCTAAAGTACATGGCGAACCATTTCATCTTTCATTGATAAGCTATTCAAATGAGTCCTGAGAAATCACATCAAATTCAGAAAATATTTGTCAAAGAGACATCAAATTTTTCAGGTACTTAAAAGTTTGCTTTAAAAATAAAAATACTTATTAAATTATTCTTCTAAATTCACAAGGCTTTGGTCTCCACTTAACAATAGTTTTCAAAATCATATGCATGTGATGATTTTAATGATTCTCATGTAATGATTCTCACTGACAAAAGAAAATATCCTTAAAACTGTATAAGAAATAGGTAAGACTCCAAAATACCAAACAGAGATTTTAAAACATATATGACAATTTTGCATAAAACTTAACGTAGCTAGTCATATTTTTCCATTGTTGGGAAAATCATTTAAGCAAGTCTACCTGCTCAGTCTCTATTTTGACCAGTAGACAGGCAATCTGAACTCTATGAGTCAAAATGCTGATAATGATCAAGCTGCAACCAACACAGTCCCTAGCAAAGAAGCAATACTGGAGTCAGTAGAGCCTGCACAGTCTCCCCAGCTCTGCAGTAAGTTCAATACACACAATGCTAATGAGGCTAAATGAAAAGGATCACAAGAACATAGGCTCCAAGAGGGCATGGTTTTTGCTTGTCTGTTTTACCACTATAGCCCAGGAGATGGAAAAATACCTAGGCCACAAGACATGTTCATTAAATATTAGTTACATGAATGAACAAATCAATGAAAAGAATGAAATCCTAGGTCTTTCAAGTCAACCTATACAAATTACATTAAGTAGCAAAATTATTTTAAAAACAAATTTGACATACATTAACTTAATAGTCAAAACTGTCTTTAGAAAACATGAGCAACCTAGTCCTCATTCTGACTAAAGAAATGTCAAAGTTCCTGAGATTTTTTTCTGATCTATATTAGGTATTGTAATACATTTACATAGCCTTCCTTAAGTTTAAAGGGTGGCTGTATCGGAAACTCTTATAAAACAAAATTAGACAAAACAAATGCATAAAATCAAAATCATTAAAATCAAACGCATCATGTTTACCATCAAACATGAGATAGAATTCATTAGGTAAGAAATCGCAAGCTATAGAAACATTTCTCATCGGCATTTTTTTCTCATAACCAATAGTACCTCTACCACAATCTGCTCCCTCTATAATTAGAAAATTAAAAATTCAATTTAACCTTTGTTTATTCCTATAACATGTATGTCAATAATTTATCATCTTATAGTTCAAAGAAATTCTTCAAAAGGTATATTTTATTATTAAATTAAGAGGTCTGAGGCCGATACGGTGGCTCATGCCTGTAATCCCAGCATTCTGGGAGGCCGAGGTGGGCAGATCACCTGAGGTCAGGAGTTTTAAACCAGCCTGACCAACAAGGAGAAACCCTGTCTTTACTAAAAATGCAAAATTAGCCGGGGATGGTGATACATGCTACTCAGAAGACTGCGGCAGGCGAATCAGTCGAATCCAGGAGGTGGAGTTTGCAGTGAGCAGAGATTGCGCCACTGCACTCTCGCCTGGGCAACAAGGGCGAAGCTCCATCTCAAAAGAGAGGTCTGCAATTCACTCAAATTAAGAGGTCTGCAATTCACTCTATTTCTTTTGTAAAATCACGTGGAGCAAAATACAAGAATACGAGTAAATACAACAAAAGTTTATATATGATTTATGCTCACTATCAAGCATAACTTTTTTCTCCAATTAACCTGATTTTTGTGAAGTAATTCAGCTTATCCTAGACGCTCTCTTTTAAGACTACCAAAATATTCTAAGTGACAAACTTCATTCTGCTTCCCAAGTACTAACCATATAATCAATACACTATTCCACTACCAGTTGAAACCTAACATATTCCAAAGGGCCTGCCTTATGTGGGTTATAATCATCTTACTATGCTTCTTGTGTCCATGCTGCTGGAAAAGCAGTCTGTACAAGCAGGAGTAGAGGCACAATCCTGAGAGAGAGGAGCAGAGAAAGATGTTGAGAAAACAAAACTAGACAAAATTAGCTCACTTGTTCAGGAGCTCAGCCAGTGTAAAAAGTCAAAGTTGAATTACATTCTTTCATAACATTATGAGTTAGACGTTGTCCAAAACAGCGTAACTGGCCTTAGAAAGAGATATCTAAATTGTACATACAAGCAGTAACATTATCACTAATTCTAAGCCATCTATGTACCTTCTTAAAAAGAAGCAAATGGGCCAGGCATGGTGGTCACACCAGTAATCCCAGCATTTTGCGAGACTGAGGCAGGCAGATCACTTGACATCAGCAGTTCGAGACCAGCCTGGCCAACATGGTGAAACCCCATTACTACTTAAAATACAAAAATCAGCTGGACGTGGTGGCATGTACTTGTAATTCCAGCTACGGGGAGGCTGAGACAGGAGAACTGCTTGAACCTAGGAGGCGGAGGTTGCAGTGAGCCAAGATCACACCATTGCCCAGCCTGGGCGACGAAGCAAGACTCCATCTCAAAAAAAAAAAAAAAAAAAAAAAAAAAAA